ATAACCTCATTTTATTAATTTTTTATAATTTAAATATATATAATAAAATATATTTTTGCAGAAGAGAGAGAGTATAAGAAATTTACCAATTTTAAAATATTCCATACAAGTATATGCATCCTTATATGTTTCCTGCGTAAATTAATATAATTTATGTAGATATATAATAAAATGTAAAAATATTTAAATATTTGATAAAATATAAAAAGATTGTTATTGAAATATCTAGTACAAATTGACGAAAAACAAATAACATTTTGAACTTATCTAATAAATAAACCTTCAATAATTTTTTGTGAAATATAATAATAATTAATATATTATTATGAATCGTTAGGGTCTACGCACAATAGGAGAAATATTAGGTACAGATATTAAATATAAGAATTTTAACCTGTCAAAAAGCGCACATTCCACAGTACACAGTTCTGATAGGTTAAAATTCTTATATATTTCCTGACATTATCTATTGATTAGCGACACCGAAATTTTCTAATTTATTTATGTTTGTTACACTGAAGATGACCCGATCGGAGTCAAAACGTCTGTATTAAAGTTTAAATTTTATATTATACTTAATTTGAAAAATTTTTCTTGTGTTCAGTATTTGGCTCATTGCCCTTATTATTACTCATATTGTTTTATACTTATTGGGCCTTATTTTATATTATATAAAATTCTTATATTTAATATCTGTTCCTAATATTTCTCCTATTGTGCACAGCCCTTAGTATTCTTTAAATTACAGTTAAAAATTAATAAAGTGTGATTGTATTTACTTTTCCAAAATTCTTTTACTAAACTATATATTTCCCCATTATTGACATACATTTTAGAATAAAATACACAATAATTATTTGAATAATAGTTAACGTATGTACATACCTCTTTGTCTTTATGCACTCTGTTTTTATTAAGTTTATACGCAAATGTCGCAAATTCACAAAATTGTTCCTCTCTCACGATCCGTTCAATTCAATTCGATTACCTCCTGAGACAGGCACCAAAATTCGATTAAGGGTCAACTTCACCAACGTCGATTAAGCTAATCATGAATGTTGGTAAAGCTAGAGTCCTAGAGAACCGCAACCGGCTTAAGTCAGTATCGCAAAAATACTAAGAAAAATATTAAAAATGGCGTCGTTTGCAGACGAAATATGAAATCCACCAATCGTCTATTAGTCAGCCATTTTTAATACCACTGAATGAATGTCATGATTGGCTGACAGTCAGCTAATCAGGACGCGGAACATCGGTTGCGCTTCTCTGATATCTAGGACTCTAGGTAAAGCTAACCGACGGTTAAAGTGTCAACCGTGATTGGTTCATTCTGGTCAAAGACAAATGTGATTGGATAATTCCATTGGAATTAACTGTTAGTTAGTCTTAACCGACGTTGATGAAATTGGCCTTAAGCTAGGGAGTTTTATTAAATGCACCAATTGAGTACCACTGTTCGGTCGGATTAGAAATTCAACCATTTGTCGTAAACATCCCGTGTCACACAACGGATTGTGGAGGCGGATCGGATTGAGATTGCGGATCGCGCATCGGAATTCAGTCAATCGAGATAAAGCTGCTTTGTGTTGATTGGCTGAATTCCGATGCGGGTTCCGCAATCTCAATCCGATCCGCGTTCAGCGTCCACAATCCGTAGTATAATGCCAGCTGCACATCAGCGCGATGTTCGTCGCGCGCGACGCGCGATATCCAATAAGCGTACAGCTTTACCGATCTTCTCATTCTAAAGCTAGACGCTCATTGGATATCGCGTGCCGCGCTGAATGATGTGCAGCTGGCATAACACGCACTTTAGGCGATTTGAACTACCACGAGCCATGAATTAGGCGACATTGGGCGCATTCAGCGGACTCAACAGTTGAATGAGCGCTCCTGTTATTGATGTATTCTTTTAGATCATCCAATCAAAATTTTAGATCTGGAAGAATACACCAATAATAGCGAGCGCTCACTCAACTGTTGAGTCCGCTGAATGCGCCTATTTTTTTTTTAAATACTGGCAGGGTTACCAGATTGGGGATTTTTGTCCCCAAAATGGGGAATTTTTGAACTAACGAGGGCTGCGTTCCGTTTCAGGCATATGAGCGCATTTTATATAGTGAGCGTCACGTATACTATAGGGGAATGCGCGCATATGCGTGAAACGGAACGCAGCCGAGGACGATTTGGGGAGACGAAGAATTGCGGGGAAAAGTTTGGGGAAATTTTTTATTTTGGGGATTTTTTTGGGGAGAAAATCATATGTCAAGGGCCTCTTTCACCAATTTCGATTAACGCTATTCGATGCTTCAATCAATCATCACGATTGCCAACATGAGAACTAAACACAGTTTTTCTCGAAAGAGGAAGAGAGAGAAGGCGTTGTGATCAAAGAGAGAGGGTCCGTGGAAGACGGCCATCTCTATTTTTTTCATTCGATGGTGTAATGGAAGAGAGAATGATAGGGTTTTCCACTGGGAAAACTGGTGCAGCACTAGCGCCGTGCTACCCAATCAGCATACCATATTTAAAAAACATTTTTTAGATATGGTATGCTGATTGGGTAGCACGGCGCTAGTGCTGCACCAGTTTTCCCAGTGGAAAACGCTATTAGAGGGAGATGGCCGTCTTCCACGGACCCTCTCTCTTATTTTCGTTGACCATTTTGACACACGGATCGCGTAGTCTATTCTCTATGTCTTTGGTTGGCCAAAAACAATTTGGCAATATTGCAAGATTTGTTTTAGCGATGCTATGTTTTCCTTTTTCAAATGTTTCAGTCGAGCGCCTTTTTTCTATGATGAATATAATAAAAAATAAATTAAGGAACAGAATAGCTGTAAAAACTACAAATGCAATTATGCGGATAAGATGCAACATGCCACAAGGTGGATGCGTTAATTTTGAGCCAACCGTTAATATGTTAAAAAAGTTTAATTCCGAAAATATGTATATCGATGATACAGAAACTGGTTAAGAAGAAATAATAGATATATTTTCATGTATATAAGGTGTGTTCCAAAATTGACTGCCAGTACTGAAAATTTATAGTGCTTGTGACGTAAACTATAGATTTTCAGTACTGGCAGTCCATTTTGGAACACAGCCATAGTATAAGATATACTAAGACGACGTTATACAAACGTAAATTGTATGTTGTATGTGCAACTTTATTGTATATATATATATGTTTAAAAATATATAATATATAATTTTTATAAATATTTTATTAATCCAAACTAATTTTTTATTAATATATATATATGTATATATATAAGAAATTTTATTAATATATAATTTTTAAACATTAGGTTGTTTGCATTGTTTGCGCTTTATGCAATCATCATCATCATCTTTTTCTCCTTTTTTAATTCGAATATTCATGTTACTTAAAGTACAAAAATTGTTCGGAATTTCAACGCAAATAACATTTCTTGTTTGAACAAGATTCAGTTTCCCTTCACTCCTTCTTTCAGTTTAATTTTTTGGGGAAATTTGGGGAAAAATTTTTGCCATATTTGGGGAAATTTGGGGAAAACTCATGTCGAATATGGGGAAATTCAGCTTTAGCCATCTGGCAACCCTGAATACTGGCAACACTGCCTGGCAGCGTCACAAATCACAATATGTTTACATTAGTTTAAGAAACGTTACTATGTCATCGTAAAGATGATTGAATTACTTTTCGTCTGACAGTATGAAACGCACGGTAATATCCAAGCTACTCTCTTTGCTTTAATTGCTTTTAACGATAACACGTTGTGTTTTTACTTTTGTTCTCGTGTAATAATGTTAATTTTAGGTTATTCTAGGTTACCTTGTTTATACTATGTATAAGCAATAACATATTTATAATTAATACATGATTGTATCGACGATGTTCACGTTAATATAAATAAATATTTTATATTTCAATGTAATATCCAGTCGTACACGTCGTAAAATTCACAAATCATAGAGCGTGCACATTCCGTTTTAATTCTGTGTCTTCATCTACAGATGCCCGAAGAAAATCATGAAACCAAGCGAATCTTTGTTAAACAAGAGAACTTTGGATACAACGCTCCATCATACGCTAATTATTCATCGTCATCATCATCTATACCCTCTACTAATGCTCAACCTTTGCCTGGACAACCACCCCTACCTCCTATGCCACCTCCATCCAACAGAATTCCACCTCTGCCTCATGTTTCATTTGAACCAGTGCCTTCTCAAGTAACTCCCTTTCAAGCTTGGATACATCCAACATGGCAATGGATAGCATCTCAAGCATCTATGCCACCTCCACCTTCACCACGTGAAATTACTAATACCATTCAGAGAGAAATGCCATTGAGGGGTAACTATATACATCATGAAAGATTCGCTCACAACAGAAACAACATGTATGTCCAGAGAAATAATTTTCATCGTAAAAAAAAGCCTATGCGTTTTGGACTACCACAAGGTCAATTTGATCAAAATGCGTATCTTGGATTACATTGGCAAAGAAACATTTATACTGCAGCGGCAAACGATGATATAAGAAACCATACAACTGTTCCTCTATCATCCCATTCCGTATCTCCTATTCCATCAGGAATTATAAATAATATGACAAGGCGTGACGAAGAGACGGAGGATCAGGATGTGAAAATTGTATTAATCAATGTATTTATTGTATACATCACATCATCTTATAAATATAGCTGATGTAATCAATAAATTTTTCAGGAAAAAGTAGTAAAGAAGAATAAACAAAGAAAGCCAATGTCTCAAAGCTATCCTAGTAAGCCATGGAATAGAGAGGATGCGGAGAGAGCACTGATGATTGAAAACGAATACAACATGAAAAATAAAGTTAATGCTCAGAGCTTAATAATTAAGTTTCCTGATCCGGACTTAAATAAGGATATTGTTAAATTATTTCATCCTGGCATTCGAAATATACATTTTCAAAATCCTAGTGGTCCAAGATATTGCTTCATTCAAATGGCGAAGAATGTAAATATTGATGAAGCTATGAAAGAATTAGAGAAAATCAAGTTTGGTACAGGATACTTAAAAGTTGAAAAAAAAGCTGTAAGAAACGAGGATGTCCGAAATACAAAACCCGAAGACATAAATCCTTACAATCTATACATAGGAAATTTGCCCACGTTTGTTAAGGCAAATGAAATAAAAAGCAAATTTCCAAAGGCTCGAGTCGATGTATCAAGAGCACGGAAATTAAAGAACACACAGTGAGTTATAAATATATTGGATGTAATTCATATATTTCATACATAATATTGTATTTATACAATTGATATAGAGAAATTATATAATCTTCAATATTATATATTGTGCTTGTTTGTTTTGTATTTACATTTTGTTATAGATTTGCTTTTATGAGATATAATAGTGTAGATGATGCAATAGCAGATTACAAAAAAGCATATGGTTTAATGTGGGATACCAGGAGTATTATTGTTAAATTTCGCCGAAAAGAGGGTAATTCTTATCTTCCCGAAGAACTTAAACCTGATGTCAAAAAAATTAAAGAAGAATCAAATAATATTGCACAAGTGAAAAAGGAATGCAATGTGAATCACATTGAATTCAAATCTAATGTTAACAAGTCAAAAGATGAAGAAAATAACATTGGTCAAGGGAATAAAATCAATCATGATAAATCATCAGCAAATCAAGATACGAATAGCATGGAAGCACGATTACAAGATAATTTCATTAAAGCACAAAATAAATCAGCCTCGCAAATTGAGGAAAATACAAACTCTCATTCCTCTTCGGTACCAACTTTAATCACATCAGATAAGACGATGAAAGAGCAACAACAACTCTGGGTAATAAATATAAATAATATCGATATCTATATTAGTATTACATATTATAACTGTGGATTTGAAGCAAATTCTTATGGTATCATTATTTAAAAACAGGCTTATGTACTGCATGGAAATGTGGAGTTTTCAAAGTATTTCTGTTTTGCTCTTTAGAAAATAAGAGATTTTTTAAATGAAATTTTATCAATACTAATTTTATTTTTACATTTAAATTTTGTCTCTTTTTTAATACATTGTTTCTGTCATTATTTTTTCTTGAGAATACAAAATGTCAACATTTAATTAGCATAAATATGATACATGTTTGCCCATACATTTACATGAATCGTTTGATAAATCCATGCAAAGTCTAAAATATAGTATCACTAGTATGTATCGAGATTATTTTTAGTATCCGGCAACTTTTTGAGGATCTCACACACCAAATTTCAATGACATAGATCTATTATTTTGTGTTTGACATTTATTTGAATCGATCAATAAATTGGAGAAAATAAAGGGCAATAGTTGATAGAAAAATTGCATTGAATAGTTATGTAAATTAGTTTGTTTCTCTGAAGAGGGTCAAAAAGTTTGCCGAAACATGTAAGAGCGTTACTATCATAATAAAAGATAGTTATTCAAATAAATGGTTTTTGTCACTTAGTAGTGGTGTTTTTAATTGCGCGACGTCTTCTGCGTCTGACTTCCATTGTCCTTTATTTTCTCCAATTTATTTTTGAATTATAAGGAGTCTTGATTGATTTTATTACTATAAGGTTTATTATTGAATCGATCAAGTTTCGGTGGTTTGTAAAAACTGAATCAAAAAGTAACTTAGAAAGAAAAGGGCACTAGGACTAAATCTCCTAGTGCCCTTTTCTTTCCAAGTTAATTTTTGATTTATACAGGAGTTTGTTATTTAAGAATTATTATATATTTGAATAAAAAAGAATGTACAGTAAACGAAAATAATTTCGTGTAGTGTAATCGCAAAATGGTTTAATTTACACTACAAAGTTCAAATTTAGAAAATAGGAGGATGAACTTTGTAGCGTAAATCGGACTATTTTACATTATACGAAAATTCTTTCCGATTCATTTTTTGCAAATTACAGTACTTGTTCAATTCAAATGAACGCCAAACACAGAGTAATAAATTTATCTTACTGAAATTTAAATACTAATAAACAAAGTTCTCGATGTTAAAACAATAATAAGGAGAAAATAAAAGGCAAATCCGAGAGTCGTCAATAATTAAGAAATTAATACATATGAAAAAAATTAAAAATATAATTAAAAATATTCAAACTGCATAGTCGAAACATGTTATGTATGCAGTTTTAATGTTTTAAAATTATATTTCTATTTTTTTTTTCATATACATACCTATCTTAATTTCTTCATTCTATTTATTACGACTCTCTCTCGGATTTGCCCCTTACTTTATCCTTATTATTGTTAATGAAATTTGGTGTGTGATCTTTAAAGAGTTGCCGGATACTAAAAATAATCTTGATATTGGTGGTATTATAGACTTTGCATGGACTTATCGAACAACCCACGTATGTTTATTATTGTGAGTGTGTGAATGCGTGCGTGTGTAAGAATAGAAAACAATATACAGTAGAACATAATAATGTTTACTGATACCATGAGAGTTTAAACTAGTAAGTAATGATGAGAACATGCCATAACGATCAAGCTGGATCTTGGATGCTTCTAATATATGTTTGTAATAAGGCTCAATAAATTTAATAATAATAGGAAAAAGGGATACGAACCACAAATTCGTTATTAACTAATAAAAAATATTAACGTAGTCCTGCCAAATTGCGTGCCGAACAATTGTCGGTCTGGAAACTCTAATAATCGGTAATTATTTACTTTAGGGGACCCAGCTCCGATGACCTTGACCTTGACATATGTTGTCAAGGTCATGATTCTGAGCAACTTTGCTTTAACAACTAGGTTGCGCTCTATTATCTAGTTTTTCAGATATTAAGCGTTGAAGTTATTTTTTAACAGTAGTGAAGGTAAAAGTAGAGAGCCTGTAATAAGAGAGTCGCCAACATAACACGTGACTCGAATCGTGGGCTGATTGGCTTGGTGCGGTTTATATATATATGTAGTCTTCAGAAAAGGTTAGCTGGGTTAGCTGTCATCAGCTGTCATGATTTGAAAATAAAACGGCGAATTAATCGTAATGTTAAATTTAATTTCTCTTCCTTTGGTAAGTATTTCAATGTTATATTTAATCGCGTTTAAACCTTAAAATAGTGTCAATATTAATTTTTGCTTTACATTTTTGGTAGAACAATGTATTACAAAAATTAAAAAGGTCCCGGGAAAAAATATTTTATATATAATTATATATTGTAAAATTATATAAAATTACATGCAATATAATTCTATATAAACATAGACATATTTTATATTTTATATTTGATTATATATATATATATAAACGTCCACATATATGACATTTTTCTCAAAATATCTAAAAAAAAAAAATCTCTTCAAAATATCTCTTCTTTGTAGAAATAATAGTCAAATATGCCGTACTGTGCAGCTTATTGTTGTAATAACAGTTACGAAAAAGGGTTTTTGTTGCTCAGATTTCCTAAATTCACTTCAATCAACATAATTAATATCAGTATTTAATACTTTGCTTTATAATGAAGTATCTTACTAAGAAAAAATGTTTTACCTCGCATAATCGGTGATTTGACGTTACTTTCTAATTATCTTCCCTTCCAACAGCAATGCGCCACTTTTCTCTCTCTTAATATGGGATCTTTAGGAAATATGAGCAACAAAAACCCTTTTTCGTAACTGTTGTTACAACAATAAGCTGCACAGTACGGCATGTTTGATTATTATTTCTGTAAAGAAGAAATATTTTGAAAAGATATTTGAAGAAATTTTTTTTTAAATATTTTTTGGGAAAAAATGTCATATATGTGGACATATATATATATATATAATCAAATGTAAAATATGTCTATGTTTATATAGAATTATATTGCATGTAATTTTATATAATTTTACAATATACTATAATTATACATAAAACATTTTTCCCTGGGTCCTTTTTAATTTTTGTAATACATTGTTCTACCAAAAATGTAAAGCAAAAATTAATATTGGTCGCGTTCAGCAGAGAAAGTCGCTACATGAGCGCTTTACGCTACGCTCCGTAGCGCTGGGAGCGTACTTTCATTATGATGGATAAAATGGTGACCACTCAACAAACATGTTGTAATAGCGTAAACCACTCCGTTCAGCACGAAATTTTACAACGGTTGCACCGCTACATTCTTCCATTGACACTATTTTAAGGTTTAAACGCGATTAAATATAACATGGAAATACTTACCAAAGAAAGAGAAATTAAATTTAACACTACGATTAATTCGCCGTTTTATTTTCAAATCATGGCAGCTGATGACAGCTAACCCAGCTAACCTTTCCTGAAGACTACATATATATAAATCGCACCAAGCCAATCAGCGCGCGATTCGAGTCACGTGTCATGTTGGCGACTCTCTTATTACAGGCTCTATAGGTAAAAGTACCGATTAGGGGACCCTTCCCAATGACCTTGACCTTGACATATGTTGTTATGACCCTGAATAACCTCCAACAGATTTTAGCCGTCGCTCGTCTTTCGTTAAAAAATTATTAACAATTATAGTTTTTAAATTAACATATGATATACATGTATGATATTAAATACTATTCTACACCTTTCAGGAACGTTAAACTTTCCACGCGAAGTAACTTTCACCCTTCTCCCCCCCTTGCGAAGGGACACTTCCATGATTGTACTGTTGCTATGATTGAACTACCTACGGCTCGCCCTAGAGAACCTCTAGTAGAGAGAATCGCCAACTTGGTCACGTGACCAATTACGTGATTGGCTGGAGGAAATGAGCAGATTTGGGCATCTCGACACCAATGCATTACGTCAGAACACATGGCGGCCCCATCATTCGCGATGAAATATTTATGTCTCGATTAAATGGTCCGGGGTCCGGAAACGCCGTCGGGGTACACGAACACGAAGACTGCCACTGCTGGGGTCAGTCTGCCACTCTCTAAATCTCTTCGTATAAGGTTAGTGATCGTTGATCGACTCTAGACACAAACTTCAATACCTAAATGTACATCTCTTATGTAATAAAAGTTCACTTATGATTTTTGCCAATAAACACTTCAATATTTCGTCAAATTTATAACAAATTTAAATAATATTAAAACATAATTACTAACACGATCAACTAGAGTCGATCAACGATCGAGTTGATCACTAACCTTATACGACGAGATTTAGAACGTGGCAGACTGACCCCAGCAGTGGCAGCTCTTCGTTTTCGTGTACCCCGACGGCGTTCCCGGACCTCGGATCATTTAATCGGGACGTAAATATTTCATCGTGAACGATGAGGCCGCCATGTGTTCTGACGTCATGCATTGGTGTCGAAATGTCCAAATCTGCTCATTTCCTCCAGCCAATCACGTAATTGGTCACGTGACCAAGTTGGCGATTCTCTCTACTAGAGGTTCTCTAGCTCGCCCCCCTCTCGCATCCGCTCCGTCGATAGAGGTCTCCTCCAACAGTACATTAATAGAGTCCCTATAATAAGGAGTCTAGCCAAGTTATTATTAATTCTATTGATGCTGACAAAATATGGCGGAACCAATAAAATGCCTCAAATACTAATACTTTCGGTACTATTAAAGCAATAAGGCACGCAGCAGTCGGGCATTTTCCATAAAATTTGTTAGTTGTAATGCACATTTTGAATAGATACAATTTTAAAGGTTAGAAATCGATTTTTATGTTAGCTTGTATAATTTGTTTTCTATTATACAGGGTGGGCCATTTTAATCTCCCCACCTGAATTTCTCGAAAACTAAATCCTGTAAACAAAAATGTTTCACATAAAAATGGAACGGTGTCGAGGGGGACACGATTTAGTCACGTTGTTTTTTTTCTAAGTGGAGGCGCTAAAAAG